GCGCGGAGCGCCAAAAGTTCATGTTCATGGCGTTTGTTCTTCTTCGACTGCTCGAAGCCACGGTTACGTGTTCGACAATGGAGCCCTTGTTACCCATCGCTCCTGGTACGTCTTCGGCGGTCTTTGGACGGTCTTCGGCGGTCGCTGAGGGTGTTCGGTGGTTTACAGCGGTCGCTGGCGGTTTCCAACTCTACTTTTTGGTTTTTATAGGAGACCGATTTCTGACCACACCCACTTCCCGAGGTGCCTTGCGAAAAGCAGTTTCCAGAGGTGGAGGTGGGCAGTCTCCTCGCCCCAGGGGAAGAAAAAAACTGCCCACTTTCACCCCCGAGGGCCTATCACAGAATCGAGGATCCAGAGGGGGATGTGGTCAGAACTCGGTCTTCGATTTTAGATCCCCGCCGTGCAGGCTGTCAGGAGCGGCCAAGAGGGGGGTGTCCAAGAGGGGGGGGTGCAAATCATGACCGGCGGCATGTGCGCGGCCCAGCGGGGGTGCCTGGGACGTAATGAAATAAGAAGGGGCGCCAGGAAATCTGGGAAAATATCATGGCCCCCGCCATGATATCCCCCCCCCCCCTAGTCATCACCCCCCTCTTTTCCGCCCCCGACAGAGGGGGATGTGGTCAGAACTCGGTCTTCGATTGTAGATCCCCGCCGCGCAAACTGGGCGATGGCACGCCGCGCGCGCGCCCTGCGCACCCACCCGCGGGGGGCGGCGCTCTCGGCCGGGGCGGGCGCTCTCACTGCTCGGCGCCGGGCCTCAGGGCCTTGCGGCCCCCGCGAGACGCCAGCACGGTGGCGGTCGGGGCGGCGCCCCGGGCGATGGTCGGGTCGGGCGAAAGGGGGGGATAGCAAAGGGGGGGGTTGAGAATCAGCTCACGTAGCTGATTTTCCCGGCGCCTCCCGGCGCCGGAGGCGCCCATGCATCGAGGAATGGGCCCGGCGGCGGGGCCGAAACCAGCTGCATGCAGCAGATTTCGTACCCCCCCCTTTCCCAAACCCCCCCTTTCGCCCGACCCGAGATGGCGAAGCTCTGCAGCTGGCGCATGTCGTGGGGATCGCCGCTGTACTTGATGACGGCGTTGGTTCCGGTCACCGCGTAGATGGTCGGGATGTACGGCACGTCGAACTGGGCCGGAGGTGCGCTCAGCTGCACGTCGAACTTGACCACCTTCGGGCCCCGCTTCTTGATCAGCCTCCTGCTCAAGATCTCGATGGGAGCGTTTTCGTTCCCCTTAATCACGAAATCGTGGCAGTGCGGGCACCAGGGCGCGAAGAATACGACCAGGATGCCGCTCTCGTTGCCCTCCGCGATGAGGGCGTCCAGGGCGGCCGCGTCGACCGCGGTCACCTTCTGCTCACGCAGCGTCGCCGTGGCGTTCAGCGTGCCCTCGGACGCCAGGTGGAAGCCAAGCACGCTGCTGTTCGCCACACCCCACGGGGGCAGCGACGGGTCGAACGCCGCCAGCTTGGCCGCCTTGGGCGCGTCCGCCAGCGCGCACGCCCAGGAGGGCGCAGCGGCCGGCGGCGCTCCCGTCTTCCGCCGAGCCGCCGCCGCGCCGTGCAGGAGGGTCAAGACGCTGAGGGCCTTCAGCATGACGGCTCACGGTGTGCTTCGTTGGCCTGACAGACACGGGTGCCGGCGGAAGTGCAGATATCCCTTTGAGCTCAAGTGGCCACAGGGCGGTTTCTGGCGGACTTGGGCGCGAACGCTGGATGGCTGTGTCTCACAAGGGGTCCATGAGCGAACACCGGATCAAGGGCACCTGCTCGAAGCCACGGCTGAGGCGTATCTTTGCACTCCACGTGGCGTCTCCTCTGTAGGCCAAGCTGAAATCGGGAGCGGCCAAGAGGGGATGTCCAAGAGGGGGGGTGCAAATCATGACCGGCGGCATGTGCGCGGCCCAGCGGGGGGGCCAGGACGCAATGAAATTCGCCGGCCCAACGGGCCAGGGCGTGCTAAGATCTCCGGTACCTGGTTAACAGTATTTCTAGTTCGCGCGCGCGGGGCGGCCCCTGGGGGTCCCCGGACGAAAAGTACCCCGGCAAGGTCCCGGCAAGGTTCCGGCAAGGTCGGGTCAGAGATGCCGGAGTTCTGTTTCGGAGTCCAAGAGGGCTCCAGATCGGTCCAAGAGGGCCCCGAGAAGCTTTCTAGACGGTCCAAGAGAGGCCCGAGACGGCCAAAGATCGCCCGAAGACGCCCCAGATGGCCCCAAGACAGCCCAAGAGGCCTCCAAGACGCTCCAAGGGCCTTCCAAGAGGCCTCCGAAGAGGGCCCCAAGTTGCCAAAATCGTTGATTTTCATTGGTTTTTTCGATGTTTTTTTGCGTTCTGGCCTTTTCGCTTCCGGACGCTCCAAGAGGGCCCAAGAGGCCTTCAAGACTGCTCCAAGACGGCCCACGAGGCTCCCAAGACGGCCCCGGAGCGGCCCAAGAGCGCCCCCCAGACGGCCCAAGTGCTGCCCAAGGCGGACCAAGAGGCCCCAAGACGGGCCCAAGAGGGGCTCAAGAAGGGAACCGAGAACTGAAAAATCGAGCCCTCCGCCCCAGAAGGCGCCCAGGACCCCGAAAGAGGCCCCAAGAGACTCTCCAAGACACCCCCAAGACGCCCCAATAAGCTCCCGTGAGGCCCCAAGAGGACCAACAACGTCAGGCCCCAGGCCCCAAGAGGACCAACAAATACCGCCAAGAGCCCGCCGAAAGCCCCCCAAGAGACCGTCACGAGAGCTCAGGAGGCCCCCTGGAGGCCTCCCGAGTTCTCCAAGAGGCCTAAAAAGAGGCGCCAAGAGGCCCCAAACGGCCCCACCGAGGCTCCAAGAGGCCACGAACGCGCAAGCAAACGCCTGCGATGGCACAATACGGGCCGGCGGAATGAGCGAAGCGATTAAATAAGAAGAGGCGCCATGAAATCTGGGGAATATCATGGCCCACGCCATGATATCCACCCCCCCCTAGTCATCACCCCCCTCTTTTCCGCCCCCGATGAAAGCGAGGGGTCGGGGTCTCGGAGCGGTCGCAGGTTGCCCTTGCGTGCTCAGCATGCACGCCTTCTGGCGGAGGGCGGGGGGCGTGAGTACGGCAGCAAGTGCAGCAGCGGAGCGCGCCAGTGTGCGCCGCCTGCAGCCACCGGCTGGCTGCCGCAGAGCAGCGGGCAACGTGCGCCACGGTATTCGCAGGGCAAGCCTCTGAGATGTGAGCTGGCGGCCCTTTCGCTCGTTGGAACTCACCCTCACGCAGGACAGGGGAGAGATGGAGCGATGGGAGAGCGGAGAGAGGATGAGGTCGACGTCGAGGGAACAGGAGGAGGAAGAGTAGGAGGAGTAGGAGGAGGAGGAGGAGACGGAGAGATAGGGAATGGGGAGAATGAGGAGGCGGCAGGAGGAGTGGGGGGGCGGATGTGAATCAGCAAAGCTACAGCGGCAAACGCGACGGTAGATAATGTTACCAGCCGCAGACGCAGCGGAAGCAGCCTGTGGTAGCAGCAGCCAGACATGGTGGAGAATGATACCGGATTCGTTGACGAGGCACGGATGGTGTTAGGACGTCATGCCAAGATCTGATTGCTCTTAGCTTTTGCAAGGGCAAGTCCAGCGACATCCCCGAGCTGACCAATTCACCAGAAACTCGCTGCGAAACGATGGCACTCCCCGAGAGCCCTCCCTTGCATCCCGGCTCACCGGTCCAACGCAGTAGGGCTTCTCGTCTATGAAGTAGTTGTAGTCCACCTGGCATGCTCCCATCGGCCGCGGACCCCTGACCAGCGACGCTCGCTGCCACTGCGGCCACACACACACACCTCTTCCCTCCCTGCGCCCGCGCAGCACAGAGGCTGGTGTCCCCGCTGCCCTCGCCGCGGTGCGAGCCACGCGCGCATCCGAAGGGGCCCCCTCTGCACGAGCATGCAGCCCGCGCCCCAGAAGCAAGTCAACGGTCGACGCCGCCACCGGCGCAAGGAACCGGGGAGGGGTCTGGTGGTGTGGCCCCCCTGCCTTGCGGTGTCCCGCTCGAGGCATCCCCGATCCGAGAGCGGGGATGCCTCGCGCGGGGCGCTGCCTCGCCGAGCTGGAGATGTGCATCTCCAGCTCGGAGGAGGGGGAGGAGGGAGGAGGAGGGAGGAGGAGGAGGAGGAGGGGCCTCGTGCTGCCCACCTCTTTGTGGAGGTGGCTGGCTGGTGAATGGGGTGTCGTCGCCTCTCCGCCCTCGAGCGCGCGGGCGCAGTCCCCCCACCCCCCCGTGCCTGCAGCACAGGGAGCAGCGGGGCCTCCTCTTCCTCCTCCTCCTCCTCCTCCTCCTCCTCCTCCTCCTCCTCCTCCTCCTCCTCCTCCTCCTCCTGGGGCTCGTGCAGGTGTGGGCCTGGCAAGGGCAAGGCCCAGACCACCGACTGGGCGGCACTCCGGGGCGCTCCTGGGCGCCTCTCCGCCCTCGGGCGCGCGGGCGCAGTCCCCCCCCCCCCGTGCCTGCAGCACGGGAGCAGCGGGGCCCCCCACAGGGCTCGTGCAGGCGTGAGCTTAGCAGGGGCGAGGTTAAGTCGGGCCGGTTCCCCTACAGGGGGGTTCTGGACGAAAAATAGAAATGGTCGAAAGATACTCCAAAGTATTTCCAAGATAATCAAAAAATACCCCCCCAATGATTTTTTTACTATTTTTGAATTTCCCCCCTGTAGAGGGACAAGCCCGACTTAAGGGCAAGGCCCAGACCGCCGATTGGGCGGAATTCCGGGGCGCTCCTGGGCGCTCGCTGCGCTTTGCGCGAGGGCCTCCGCGAAGGCGAACACGCCCAAACCGACTCCAACGTCACACCTTCGCTTGTTTGCAGTTCGATGTCGGGCCTACCGCTGTCTGTGCCCTGTCTGCTGGACTACCTGGCAGGTGCACCCCTGAGTTGGCCCTGGGCTCTAACAGGCTCCAAGGCCCACATCTTTGATCATCTCAGGGGTGCGCCTGCCAGGTAGACTGGCAGGCAGGGCACAGACAGCGATAGGCCTAGACGTCGCATTGCAAAAACGAGCCTTACAAGAAATGCCTAATCAGACTAAGGAACCTTCGGCAACCCTAAGAGACAGTCCTGGGGGCCGTCTTGGAGGTACCGGGGGGAGATCAGCCCGAGACGCCCAAGATGCTGATGGGATCGGGGAAGGCTTAGAACACGTCTCAGAAGGCCTGGGGACTTCCGAGCCTTCTGAGCGCCTTCTCCTTCTCATCTCCCCCCCTCGCTCGCCGCCGAACAACAGACGATTCAACACTTTTCTTACCATGCGACCAAGGCGCCTCGCGGCTGAGGAGGGAGGGAGGGAGGAGGGGGGCAGGGAGGCGCGCCGAATTACTAATTAGTCTGGCGGCCCGGGCCAGGCCAGCAGGCGCGCGCGCAGGGTGGCGCGGCAGGCCCCTGCGCTGCCGCCGGCGCGCACAGCCGGCGCCAGCAGCAGCATGGCAGCCCGCGGGGGCAGCGCCGGCACACATACACACACACAGACGATTGAACACACACAGACGATTGAAAACACACACACACACACGAACACACACAGACGATTGAACACACACACAGACGATTGAACACACACACAGACGATTGAACACACACACACACACCGACGGCCCTACAGCGCCCCAAGACGGCCTCGAGGCAGCTCGGAGAGGCTCTTGAGGCGGTCTCCCAGGGCGTCAGGCGGGCGGCGGGCGCCCCAAGACGGGTTCTCTCTCCCTCTTTCTCTTTCGCTCTCTCGCTCTCTTTCTCTCTCTCTCTTTCTCTCTGTCGTATACTGACGGGTCCTGTTCATATATTTGTTATACTGCCGGGGACCCCGGAAAGAGCGCACCCCCCTGAACCCCCCCCCCAAAGAAAAAACGGAATTCGAATGCTTGGGCCTGTCTTGCGCCTTTGGGTGTTCTCGGATGTTCGACTCTCTGGACCCTCTTGGGCCAGCCTTCGGCCTCTTTGGGGCTCGTCTGGGGACTCATTTATGGCCGTCGTGGGCCTATTTCGACGCCTCAAGAGCCGATCGTAAGCGAAAAGGCGAGAAGACCAAAAACGTTGCTTTTCCAATGGGTTCCCATTGATTTAAATTCTCTGGGCATTCTTCAGCCAGCCTTGGGCCTCTTTGGGGCTCGTATGGGGACTCATTTGGAACCGTCGCGGGCCTGTCTTGACGCCTCAAGAGCCGATCGTAAGCGAAATGCAAAAAGGCGAAAAACATGGATTCCCCCATGGGTTTTCATTGAATTTCAATTCTTTGGCCCTTCTTCGGCCAGCCTTGGGCCTCTATGGGCCTCGGCTTGCGCCTCTCTGGAGCCATCCTGGGGCTATCTTGACGCCTCCCGAGCCGACCAGAAGCGAAAAGGCGACAAGACCGAGAACATTGCTTTTCCAATTGTTGTTTCATTGATGTTCGAACCTCCGGGCCGTCGAGGGCCAGCCTGTGCCCTCTTCGGGGCTCGTCTGGGGACTGATTTTGACCCGTCCTGGGCCTGTCTTGATGCCTCAAGAGCCAATCGGAAGCGACAAGGCGAGAAGACCAAAAACCTTGATTTCCCAATGAATTATCACGGATGTTCAATTATTTGGCCCCTCTTCGGCCAGCCTTGGGCCTCGGTGGGCCTCAGCTTACGCCTCTCTGAAGCCATCCTTTGGTCAGCTTGACGCCTCTCGAACCAACCGGAAAGGAAAAGCGAGAAGGCCGAACACATTTGTTTTCAAATGGGTTTTCTCTGAAATCCGACTCTCTGGGTCCTCTTGGGCCAGCCTTGGGCCTCTTTGGGGCTCGTCCGGGGACTCATGTGGAGCCGTCGTGGGCCTATCTTGACGCCTCAAGAGCTGATCGTAAGCGAAATGCGAGAAGGCGAAAAACATGCATTCACCAACGGGTTGTCATTGATGTTCTATGTGTTTGGCCTTCTTGGGCCAGCCTTGGGCCTCATTGGGGCTCGAAGCCGGCAGCCCAGCAGCGCGCATGCCGAAAATGGCATGTCCTTTAGGAGGTGAGGAGGAGGGGGAGGAAGAGGAGAAGGCTTCCAGAAGGAGGAGAAGGAGGAGGTGGAATTAGAGAAAGAGGGGGAGAGAGGAGAAAGAGGATCAGGATGAGGAGGAGAAAGAGGAGGAAAAGGGGGAGGATGAGAAAGGAGGAGGATGCTCTGCTTCATGCTAGCCCAACCACTCGCCTGAGACATATTCGCGCCTCTGGGCCCCGAAACGCCCTGAGATGGCCCCAGCTGGTGTTGTCCGGTCACTCCCGCTCAGGCACTCCTCACCCATTCCGACTTGGCGGTGGCCCGCCCCATGTCCACGCGCACGCACGCCGCCTGCATTCGAAACTACAAGGAACAAAGTGCATGGCGTGAAGCGCCAATGCAGTCTTACTAGAGCCACGCGCGCTATGCGCGCTTAGGTTCTAGTCGCAGATGAGGCACGGGTGCCGCTGCAAGCCCCGCTGTGGTCACAACGACAGTTTCCAGCGTTCTCGGGCCAATGCCATCGACGTAGCCAGAACGCTCTCGATCTGCTGGGGCCGCAGTTGAGAGGTGGGAGGGGGAAAGCAACTGGTCAAATGATAGGGTATAACGATGCCCCGCTCGCTCTGGCGGGGCCTGTCTGGCGTTTTGGCGGGGCCGTCCCAACAGAGGAGGGAGGAGCACGAAACCTGAGGGGTGAGGGGAGGAAGAGGAGAGAAGAGGGAATGGAGGCAAGGGGAGGGGGCGGGAGGGAAGGAGGGGCGGAGGGGGGAGGCCGGACAATCTGGGCCGTCTTGGTGCGCTCCGGGGCCTCCCGCTCCCGCTCTGTGGCCCAGCTTGGGCCTGTCCTGGGGTTCTCTTAGGCCGTCTGGGGCTCCTGCTAGACTATTGTCGGGCTCCCCGGGGCCGTCTGGGGGCTCTTTTGGGTGCCTCTTCGGCGGTCTCGGAGCGTTCTTGGGGGCGTCTGCGGCCGTCTTCGAACATTGGAAGCTCGAGAACGCGAGAAAGCAAAAAACACCAACAAACCAATGCAAATCAATGATTTGGGCCTTTGGGGGCTCTCTCGGGACGTCTTTCAGAGCTCTCTTGGGCCCTCTTGAAAGCCTTTTGGGCTATGTGTTTGCCGTCTTGAGCTCCTCTTGGGCCACGTTGGAATCATCTCGGCCGTCCTGGAGCGCCCTGGGGCTTCCCGTTCCCGCTCTGGGGCCCATCTTATGCCTTTCCTGGGAATATCTTGGGCAATGTTGGGCTGCTCTTGGGCAATCTTCAAGCTCTCCGGGGCAGTTTTTTTTTCGGGGGGGCGACCCCAGACAACCCCAGTATATTCCTTTGGTGCTTGAGGACACTATGCCTCAAGACCCCGTGTCGGGCACTTCAAGCCACCTTCCGCGGCCTGCAGTGGCCCGCCCAGGCTGAGAAGCCTCAGCCGCAACAGCAGTGACACGCACACGGGGGGAGGAGGAAGAGGAAGAGGAGAACTGCACAGCGGCCTGCTGGCTCCACGCACGCGACAGTAAAGGATGGCGACGAGCCGTAACTCGCAGCCGCGCTTCAAAGTGCTCCTCAGGAGTCCCTGGGGTGCCCTTGCGCCTGGCAGAGTGGGCTGATAGGAACGCATCGATACAGGCAGCAAATAGAACATTTGACGAGCGTGGTGAGGGCGAGAGTAGGAGAGAGGGGAAGAGCCAGGGAAAACCCTCAGGAAACGACGAAGACGCAGGAAGAATGTGTCCAAACCGGTGATGAAAGAGATGTAGGAGTCGAGGGCAGTGGGCATAGTGAGCAACAGAGTCCAGGTCACGACCATGCGCATGTGGGCACCCCAGGAGGCAACCTTTCGCTGCCGAGTGGAAACGAGTCGAGGTACAGACCGACCTCGATAAGAATCTGAGGACCGAAACAATCATGTACGGCTGGGTCTTCTGAATCACGAAAGAGGCATTACTATAAAATCTGTCAATCATCTCGCCGCGGATGAGAGGGAACCATTTCTGGATACGACGCAGGAGGATACTGTGAGGATGTTCCCGACTCGACGTGTTTGCCCATAACATAATAGATAGCCGATGTTGTAGTTTCCTGTGTTCCGAGGGAATCCGTGAGAGAAGAGTAGGGGGTGATGGACCAGGTGGGGTACGAGGTAGTCTGTAATACCATTCATACAGACCACGCAGATATGAAAGGAAAGATGAATTCCACCATCCACTGCAGAAACGAACAAAGATGCTTCCAGGTTCGTCTCGCAGGGCTTCCAGCCTCGATAGTGCGGCGCTGAAAGTGCTGCTGCGGATAATATACCGAAGGCAGGTAGCACGGGCAAGGGTCAAAAGATCAGGAAACTCAATGGGAAGATGGAAACTAGCTAGCTGTGCACAAGAGTCGTAGGAAAGTGAGTTACGTGGGCCAGCTGCGAGGTACATGACCGCCTCCCTATACATGTGGATAAGAGCGGGGGAAACAGGATGAATGTGAAGAGTGAAGGACAGGATGGATACACACATGACTTTGAATGCCAGCACTGAGCGTGTGAGTCCAAGGCCGAGCTGTCGAGCGACTCCGACTCGGCGGCGAAACTTGGGAGCGGCCTCGCTCCATGCACTCCTCTCGGCTCCACGGCCGATGTAGATGCCTAGGTATTTGACAACCTCAAGGACCTTGATCTTTTTGAAATCACCCACGAGCAACCGAACGGCGTCCCTCAGGAGGTTCACATCTATGGAGCCCACGACCAAGATCTGACACTTTTTGAAGTTGAGCCTGAGACCCGCGAGTTTTTCGAGCCGCGCGAGCAAGGCAAGGAGAGGGCCCAGGGAACGGAAGATGTCAAAGATGCCGAAACAGAAATCATCGGCATAGGCGAACGTCCTGTCGATGCGTGCTGAAGCCTTGAAACGTACCCATCGGAGAAGGGGGTCAGCAGCAAGAACGAATAGAAGCATACGGCTCGGGCATCCCTGTTTTATCCCACTCGCCATGATAAGCTCTCCATGGGTCCTCCCTCCATAGCAGATAATGGCAGTGTTAGATGTGTAAAGAAGCATGAAAACTTGCAAACATAGGGGCACACATTCATGATGACGAGCACGCGCAGCATCCACGGGATCGCCAATGAGGGGAAAGCCGCACAAAAGTCAGCGAGGAACAGGCAAGCATTCTTTCTGTCAAGGACGTGTTGTTCGATACCCCACCCCTCCGCCTCCACTACGTTGGTGAGCATGTCTCTGCCAGCGACACACTTTTGTTCGGGCGAGACCAAGCCGCCAGAGTTGGCAGCAAGCGTACAAGACATGGCCCCCGCTAGGATATGCACGTCGGTATTTGACATGCTGAGGGGGCGCGTGCAGCTGGGGTGGCGAAGGACATCGTCTTGCTTGTCATGAGGGTCCGTGCCCTTCGGGAGGAAAACCATGAGGCTCCGCCTCATTTGAATAAGTAATTCTTGAACATCATCAGTGAGTAGAGTAAGATAGACATCGTACAGCAGGCGGGACGCGTCAGGGACCTTCCAGAACCCGTATGGCAACCCATCTTCGCCCGGCATACTGTGGACCCGCGACCTCACATAGTCATACCATTCACCATATGAAAGCTTCCAGGAACGAGGAAGGGGTTCTGGGATAGGCTGGATGAACGCATCGATTCCGGCCCATTCACCGACGTTCAGGGGGGGAGCAGAAAAGTCAGAAGACCAATAGGGCCTGAGGACCTCGGCGGAGTGGTCGACAGACCTGCAGGGAACGCCGTTCTCTTCATAAATGCCAGTGAGGCAGGTACGGCTCTTGAAACGTCTCCAAAGTTCTTGCATTCGATTGACGCGATTTTTCTTGGAGGCTTTGACTTCGGGGGAGAGGGTCGCGAGTTCGAGTTCACGGGACTCTTCGTCAATCAATTGCATCTGAATACTGCGAATAGGACTGCAGAGGTCTTCCAGGCGGGTACACTGAAAAGTGGTGAGACAGAAGTGCGACTGGAGCGCTGGGTAACATTTGAGAGCACGGTGGATCAACCAATCTTTGCCTAGCCTCCATCCCCGAAGCGCCTGCAAAGCCCAATACTGTTCAAGCTCAAGCGCGTCGGCAACCTCGTGCTTGACAAACTCGCGCACGTGCGCGGCCGAGGCGAACGTCAGTTCCTTGAGCTGCTCAAGGCGAGGCCAGGGACCTAACTCCGTGGACATTTCGGCGATGGCAGCCTCCAAAAAACGCTGCAACACGGGGTGCTTCGCGACCCACTTCGGGATGTTTTTGGGGCCATCGTGGGGCCTGAAGGGCTCGATGTCGACGAAAATCGGGATGTGGTCGCTAGCCATTTTTGCTTTGAGCTTGCCCAGGACACCACAACGAATGTCCAGGTCACGTATCATAGCCTGAGGAAGGGAGGTATATGCCCGATCAAGACGAGCTGAGTGAGTAATGATCCCATCCCTGACCTCCCGCCTAGTGTCCTGCCCCTGGTAAAATTCAGTGAGATAGGGGAAGTATCGCTGAAAAAGCCGAGCTTGGGCGCGATCACCAGCTCTCCAGCCCGACCCATCGTACTGCATCCGTCCCTCTTCTTCAGGGACAAAGCTAAAGTCACCAATCCAAATCTTATGATCGCGCGGGTACTTCTGAAACTCAGAGCGCAGCAAGGACAGCGCCGAGGAGAACGCGGCAACAGAGTCACTCGTGTTGGGGGGGGGGGGGGGGGAGGTTGAAGATACTGATGGGCCCATTCAGACCAGGTAGACGACTGTGGAGGATACGACCAGTAATAATGGGATTATGAGTAACAGGGTTAAATAGCTGACTGAACTCGCTGCTGATAATCGTGATGACCCCACCTTCACGCTGAGAGTCAGGGGAGAACGAGGACCCAATCGACCAGCCCGAGGAAGCCGAGCCCAGCTCGCGGTGGAGCTCTCCGATATCTCCTATATGTCCGTGCGTTTCTTGACAACAAGTGGTAGCGAATCTGCGAGGGAGCGAGAGGAGGGGGGAGTAGCGTGCACTGGAGCGCCACCCTGCGTGCTTGACTGAGCTAAAAAGACCGCGAGTGTTCCACGAACAGATGGCGAGAGGATCTTCGGGGGCGAAGGGCAGACAATTTGGGGCGGGGGGAAAGGGAGGGCTACTAGACAAAGTCTCACCACGCTCGCGCTCAGAAAAGGATGGAGGAATGCGTGTCACTGTGGCCCCTCGGCCACCTGAAGTGCAATCTGGTTCATCGTCGAAAGGGGCGCCTTATCGGCACCATCGCGGCAGCGCGGATGGCGGCGGCCTGGGTCTCCAACCCAAATTCCCTCAGGCCGGCGGCGTCGAGCTCAATAGAAATCGAGAGGTCATCACCTGAGACCTGGATCTGGGCAATCTCAATGGGCTCATCTTCTGACTTCAGGGCGTACACCAGACCTCCCAAGCCGTCGCTGCCAACCTCGACGCCCCTAGGGGCCAACAAGTTGGAGACGAGGGCCCGTGCTTTGCCCATGGAGAGAAATAACTAATTGTCGGCCCTTGATGTCCTGATCCCTCTTGAGCTTAATATTGAGCATTTTCTGAGGGGCGAGGGGATCAGGATGACGGAAGATCCCGTCGCGACTGTAGTTCGTCAGGAAGTTTGAGGCGTCCGAAGCGTTCTCGAAATTGAAGGTGATCTTCTTGGCCATGTCGAAGCATTTGGCTGTGATCCGCGACTGAGCTTCCTGCGGTGCATACTGAGCCTTCATGGCGTCCGCGATCGTCTTCAGAGAGCGGGCGAGCATCTTGCGGGGGAACCTGATCGCGACCAGCGTGCACGCGTTGTCCTGCTGCGCCTCAACGGTGCTGGCTACCGATGGGGCCGTCGAGAAAGTGCGCAGCTGTTCCTGGATGGCGGCGATATGTTGCTGAACTTTGGCGTGGATCTCTGCGCCCTGCTCGGCGTCCATGTCAAAGATCGGGATGGCGGTACGTGCCTCTTGGGCACGGAGCTCGTTCATAATCTGCGTGTTGACTTCACCCTTGAGAGCGGTGAAGCGGTCATTCAAGTCAGTGAACATGACTGACTGCTGGCTCTCAAGCTGAGAGACTTTAGACTGGATGTCGCTGGCCAGGTTAGACATGTTCGTCGTGAGTTGGTCGCATCGAACTGTCTGCGCAGCAACCTGGTTCTTGATGAGGCGGATGTCGTAGGACTGCGAGGAGAGTTGAGAACCAAACCCTCGGAGCGAACGGAGGACTTCATCGAGCTTCTCCCCGTCAGTGGGCTTCGGGCGTTTGCCTTTCTCGCGGTCTGAGCGGCTGCGTGACGAAGAGTCTCGGCGCCTTGACTCACAGCTGCCAGAAGGGTGCGATGAGCGGGCTCTGTCGGCGGAGGGCATGGCGGCCACTGTGCAGGAAGAGATGGAGAAGAGCGAGAGGTGTGCGTGTCGACGCTGTGGCGGCAGGCGGGCCTTTGGCGACCCTTGAGGCCGCACACGTGTGAAATGGACGCTCGGGCCTTCCCTTCGGCTTGAGCCAAAATGGCTACGGAAGCTCTCCGGGGCCGTCTTGGGGCTCTTTTGGGGGGCCTCTTCGGCGGTTTGGGGCGATCTTCGGGGCGTATTTGGAAGCTCGAGAACGCGAGAAAGCGAACAACATTTGACGAACACTACCAGAAATCAAGGATATGGGCCATATTCTTGATTTCTGGTAGTCTGGGCCCAGATCATATGGGCCTCTTCGAGCTCTCTCGGGACGCCTCTCGGAGCTCTCTTGGGGCCTCTCGGAGGGCTCTTGGGCTGTGTATTGGCCGTGTTGGGCCCATCTGGGGCCACGGCCACGTTGGGGCCATCAAGGCCGTCTTGGAGCGCCTTGGGGCCTCCCGCTCCCGCTCTGTGGCCCAGCTTGGGCCTGTCCTGGGACTCTCTTGGGCCGTCTGTTGCTCGTCCGGGCAATGTTCGAGCTCCCTGGGGCTGTCTTGGGGCTCTGTATGGGGGCCTCTTCGGCGGTCTTGGGGGCGTCGTCGGCTGTCGTGGAGCGTCGGAAGGTCGAAAACGCGAGACACCGAAAACGCGAGACACCGAAAATGAAGGATTTGGGCCTCTTCGGGCTCTCGGGGCCACGTTGGGGCTATCTGGGCTGCCTTGGAGGGGCTTGTCGAAGTTCCCCGGAGGCTTCTGAGAGCGTCTTGGAGCTCTCTGGGGCAGTCTGGGGGCTCCACGGCCCCTCCAGGGTGCTCTGGGAGCGGTCTCGGAGGCCCCAGTCCCCCCAATACCCCCTCAGGTCGCGGCCCCAGGCGCCCGGGCCTCGTGCGAGGGTGTGTGTATATATATATATATATATATATATATATATATTCCTCCTCAAAGGGTTTTTTTCACAAAGACAGGAGAAACACATTGTCCAACAGCCTGGTCAGACTCTGGCCCAGCGTATGGGCACATAGGCGCTCACAAATAGCAGGGGTCGGCGGTGACCAGTGGTTCGCCGTACGTGGGCGCCTTCGATACAGAAGAAGGAGCCGCAGGACAAGAACGTCTGGGCGAGCCCTCCAGCGAGAACCTTGGGCGTCCCTGCCTTGGGGGGAGGGGGACTGGGGGGAGGGGGAGCGTGCACCTGTCGTGCCCCTCGTGGGCCCCAGGGGGCCCCCATCAGGGACCCCAAAGGTGCACGAAAGGTGCACCGTTCCCCCCCCCACCCCCCATGTGTTGCCCCCCCCCCCCCCACCGATGCCTTGCGCTCCGGGGCCCACACTTGACGAATGGAATGCTCCTTTGGGGGGGGGGGGGGGGGGCGCGCTCGTTCACGACCAGGGCTGCAGGGCCCTCTCCACCGCGGCAGGCAGCAGCCGGGGGGTCGGGAGTGGCCTGGCTGAGCTCGCGCGCGCGACTGGGGGACGGGGCAGTGCGCACGAGGCCGGAGCTCCCCAGCTGCGGCCGGCGCTGCGCCAGGAGAGCGCACAGCAGGGCACGACAGGGGCCTCTTCTGGCCACGGCCGGCCCCACGGCCACGGAGAGGCTCTGCCACACAGGCCGGGGGCACGGCCCGGAAGCCCGAGCGCCTCCTGTGCCCAGGGCGGCCCTGGACATCAGCGTCGTGGCTGCAGCTGCCTCACGCGGTGGCCCTTCTCTGACTACCTACCAGACCACCCCAACCCAGCCCGAAGACCCGAATTTCGGGTTGGGGGGGGGTATGGGCTCCGTATGTGTTTTTTCGATGTTCCCGGACCCCCCCCCAGTGGAAATGGAGGGCAAAATGAGGCCCTCGGGTTGGATTGGGGTGGTTTGGTGGGTGGTGATTCTCAGACCGCTCGCGCGGCAAACGCCGCGCGGGCAAAGCGCGGGGCGCTCGCCCAGGACCTCACGCCTCGGCAGCTTGCGCGCCGAGGTCCGGCGCCGGCGGCTCCGGTTTGCTGCGCTGTTCCCAAACATCCGGCTGCTCCAAATCTTTCGATGCGTGGGCCCCGGAAGTCTGGACATCTTCCCTATAGGGCACGTTGTTCGTCATGAGCCGTTTTGTGATGCTCCCGAGGCCCGGCGAGAGCCCCCAGAGGCCGAAAACGGCCAAGAACCGCCCACTCCGATTTTTGTTGAAGCGTCAGATCTCTGGGCTCGTGCGTGCGCGTTCCGCTGGTCGGTCCGCAGCGTCGCGCATCCATAGGTCCAGGGCGGGGGCGAGTTCGACAAACTTCAGCCGGGCACCGGGACCTGAGAGCACGACGACTACAGTCCGACCTAGGCCAGAAGACCATCCCTCAAGAACATGGGACCCTCCGTCGGCCAAAACAAACAGACCATCCAAGGGTACCCTCCCCTGGGTGCACAAGAACACCCGACGAACACGAAGAAAATCAGGGCACCCTCCCCGAACCGACCTCGATCTTATCCTCGGTCTGACGGTCGTGCCCGCTCGACCTCACTCATCGGGTCAGACGAACGAGGGGGTTAGGGGGGGCTTAGTGAATCAGCTCACGAAGCTGCCTTTCCCAGCGCCTTCTGGCGCTAGAGCCGCCAACGTATCGACGAAATCGTCTGGCCTCGGGGATGAGAAGAACTACGCGCAGCAGGTTTCGCAACCCCTCCCTTTCCCGATCCTAATCTTTCGAAGACACGATTTTCTCCTAATCTCGATCGCGTCCGCTAGACCTCGCTAGGCCCCAGCTGGGGGTGCCCGCAGCCAAGCTTCGGCGGCGAGCGAGGGGTGGAAATGAGATGGGGGAGGCCTCCTCAGGAGGCGGCGGCGCTTCTGAGAAGCCATCCGGCATTCTGAGACGTTTTTCTGCGTATTCGGGGCAGGCTCAGAACACTTCTCAGAAGGCCGGAGGACTTCCAAGCCTTCTGAAAGTGAGGGGCAACGATCGGGGGGGACTTGCATAGGGGGGGGTGCATCGACCTGGAACTGGCGAAGCATCGCCGATAGATCGGCGACAGTCCCCCGATAGCGAAACCGCACCTTCCTGGGCGGGGTGGGGCCATCAGACCCTCATCGGCGATCCAAGGGCCAATGGGGGGTCCATGCAGCCCCCCCAAATGCCTATCCCCCCCCATATCGTCGCCCCAGAGAAAGGCCCGCTCCCGCTCACTCCCCCCCTGGGCGCGCCGCCGGCACCGACCGACAGGTGGGGGGGAACGCCAGGAGAGGGGGAAGATGGGGCGCCCGAGTTATCCGGGGCAGCTCGGGCGCGGGGTAACTCGGGCTCGGATGCCCGAACAAACAAACCCGAGTTAGCCCTGACCCGAGTTGCCCCTGACGATTTGGGGCTCTGGACGCCCAGATTATCCGGGGTCATTCGGGCCCGGGGTAACTCGGGCTCAGATTCCCAAACAAACAAACCCGAGCTAGCCCCGACCCGAGTTTCGGGCCGGGCGAAAGGGGGGGATAGCAAAGGGGGGGGGGAGAATCAGCTTACATAGCTGATTCTCCCGGCGCCTCCCGGCGCCGGAGGCGGCTATGTATCGAGGAATGGGCCCCTCAGTGGGGCCGAAACCAGCTGCATGCAGCAGATTTCGTAAGCCCCCCTTTCCCAATCCCCCCCTTTCGTCCACCCCGAAAGGAGGAGGCGGAGGAGGCGGAGGAGGAGGAGCCAACGGCGGCCGCCGCGCGGCCGGACCGACGAGACGGAACCCAGGAGCGGCGCGGCCAAGGCCAAGGCCGCCCCGGAGCCCGAGGCCGAGGCGGCACCGCGGGCGAGGGGCATGGGCACGACAGACGATTCAGAAAAGCACCAGATCGCGATCTGGCCCGTTCCGGACCGCGCATCGCTCCAAGTCCAGATCCCAAATCGGCCCACGCTGGATCGTGAATCCGCCTGCCTTGCATCGTGCCTTCCCCCATCCCCCCCTTTCGCCCGGCCCGAGAGTTACCCCTGACGACTCGGGGCTCTGCGAGGGGGGGCTGGCGGCAGGGAGGGGGACCGGCTCTCTTGCCATCGCTCGCGACCGTCCGTTCCCCGTGCACTCTGCGCTCGGCCTCGTGCGCGCCCAGAGCTCGCAGGAGGAGCCGGGATGCTCCTCGAAGGTTCTCGCCGAGGAAAGAGTCGGCGACACGCAAGAGCTCGAGTGGCCCTGGGTAAGAGTGACCTTTGGTGCGCGGCTTTTTGGGGGCCGCGGGAAGACCAAGCCTGGGCGCGCAGGCCGCTGCTGCCGCTTCGCTTTCAGCCATCTGAGGGCCCTTCTGTGCCCGCACCCAAGGTCACCGTCGGCCCGAGAGTTACCTATGACGATTCGGGGCTCTGAGAGGGGGGCTGGCGGCAGGGAGGGGACCGGCTCTCTTGCCATCGCTCGGACGTCCGCTCCCCGTGCACTCGTGTTCGGCTTCGTGTGCTCCTAGATCGGGCGTTGGCAGAGCTGGGTTTAGTGGAACCTGGTTTAGTGATGTGCACTGGGGGAGACCCCCCCGCCCCGTTCCACTAACCGGAACTGCCGTCACCCGGAAAACACCAGCTACGGCAGACCTGGTTTAAAGAGTCTGGCCAGTTCCAGGGCCCCGGGGCCCTACCACTAACCGGGTCCCCTTACCTGGGGTCCTGGCTAGACCCGACTGGAGTTCGCAGGATGAGCCGGGATGCTCCTCGATGGTCCTCGCCGAGGAGCAAGGCACACGTCCGAGCGATGCCAGGGGCTCAGGGGGAGGGGCACCCTGAATCGGCGATGCATCGCGGATACGTCGGCGACGGGCCCCCCCTGTTGCGAGTGCGGACGCTCCTGGCCGGGGCGGGGCGGGACTCTCGGGACCCCACCGGCGACGAGCGGGCGATCGGGGGCCGAGGCGTCCCATGACGTCCATTCCTCGTGCATGTTTCGGTTTCGCGCGCGCTTTGCGTGCCAAGGGATCCAGGAGGCTCCTCGGTGGTGCTCGCCGAAGAACAACGCGCACGTCCGAGCGAGGCCAGGACCCGCAGGGCTGCCCCTGGCCACTCTCGTGCGGCTGCACGCAGGAGCCACCCTAATTAGGCAGCAGTGGCCCTTGGTGCGCCGACTCCGGGGGGGCGCAGTGCGGCCACGTCCGAGCTCGCAGGCAGCCACGATCGCATCGGGCTCGGCGATCGGTGGGACCACCCTGATCCCGCACCGAATGCCACTGCCGCGAAGGGGCCACTCTTACGTTCAGTCGACTCGTGCGCAGAAGGGGGCCCGGACCCACGACGAGACCTCGAGGGGAGCCGCTCTGGTGCCAGAGAGAGCGCGCGCCGCTGGCCTCGCCTCTGGCCGCACGCGCCAGGCCTCCGCGGGCCCGGCTCCTGGTCCACGCGCCCGCCCGCCAGAGCCCAGGCGCCGTGGCCTTGTGCTCACAGCCTGGTCCCCTGGGAGCCCCACTCACACGCACGAGCTCCGTGGCGCGCCAACGCCTGTGCCATCGAGAGTGCCGCAACGAGCGCGCGCGCGACGTCATCGACCGTGCTGCGGCCGCTTCGCTGGCACTGTGCGCCTCTCTGGTTGACCTCAAAGGGGGTCCAGCGAAAAGGAGGTGGTGCAATAGATCAGGTTAATAGATTTGCGGGGTTGCACAAGAGTTGGGGTGTGCAGTACATTCTGGTGCGCAAATGTATTGCTGGATTTTCTCGTGCAAGACATTACTTTCAACACAATGTAATACAACTCTCTGGCGCACTGCACTTACAATACACTTACCCCAAATCTATTGTACCACCCCCGTTAAGCTGGACCCCCTTTTCGAGTCACGCGGAACCTGCGAACCCACGGCGTGGTCTGACAGCGGGAAGTCGCGACGGCCCCCCCGGGAGCCTCGAGCCCTCCCTGGGGGAGGTGGGGGCGCTTTTGCATCCTGAGCCGCCTTTAGAAGAAGGAAAAACGCCATACAAATAAACCTTGGCGCTCCGCGTGGACTTCTTGGATCTGCGGCGCCAGAGGCGCCGCCGGGGGGGTCCCAGATCGGACCCAAGAAATCCGCGCGGAGCGCCAAAAGGTTCTGTTTATGTGTATGGAGTTGTTTCCCTTCAATTTTCGTCGATCCTACAATTTTCTTCCCCAAGCAGTGCGTGCACTCAGGGGCTCTTGCCTCGCTTGCTCAGGGTGGAGCCGGAGGGGTAGTCATCCGTGGGGCTTGCGCCACGCCACTGGCCCGTTGGGCCCCTCGTCGTGGGCGCCTCGTGGACGCCCCGCGGCCCCGGTGGGTACATGTCGGGGGTGCACCAAGTTGCCGCCTCGTGGGCGCCTCGTGGGCGCCCCGCGAGTCTACGCGATAGAACTTCCACCACACAGCTTACGCTGCACAGCTTGCACCACTGGGGAAACCTCTTTGGTCTGCGGGCTCGCGAAGCAGGTCGAAAGCCGTCCGAACACGAGTCGGGCCGCGACTAGGCAGCAAGAAAAGAGAGGCAAGCGAAGCGAGCGCGCGGGCAGCCACTCAGAAGATGAGCCAGAAACGAAACTCCCAACCCGGTGGCGTGGAGATCCCAGTGGCGACCTCTGGGCAAACAAACAGTGGCACAAACATAAAAACTCGGAGGCCCGCGCGGATTTCTCGGATCGGCGCTGGAGTCCCCTGGAGGCACCTCCGCGCGTCAAGGAGGGGGGTCCAGTTTCGATCCGAGAATTCCGCGCGGGCTTCCGAGTTGTTTATGGTTATGGCAGTGCTTCTTTCCCTAACCACATAGCTTTCACCGCATAGCTTGCACAATGTACCTTACATCGCATAGCTAGCACGGCAGAGTTTGCACAGCATAGCTTACATCGCATAGTTTTCGCCTCCTTCGGCCATGCCACACAAATTACACAATATATAGCTTTCACCACTAGTTTACACCGTCTGGCTTTCACCTCCACAGTGCGAGAACGCTCTGTTAGGAGTCCACGCTGGCGAAGATTGCGTGAACCCCAGTTACGAGGCAACTCCTGGGAAGTGTTCGCAAGAACGGTCAAATGCTATTCAGCCCAACTGAGGGGCCGTCGAGCCGGATCTAGCCGGACTGGGCCCATGATGCAGCCGGATTCAGCCGGAATGGTGCGGGATTGCGACGGATCCAACGGGACACTGCCGGATTGGGCCTGTGTTCGACCACGGATGTGCTAGCGCGGATGCTGAATCTGACCTCCCAGGTTATGTAGTGCCCGTCCTACTTAAGAACCGCATCCCAGAAATTCGCCGGCCCAACGGGCCAGAGGCGTGCTAAGATCTCCGGTAACTACTGAACAATATTCCTAGTTCGCGCGCGCGGGGCGGCCCCTGGGGGGCCCCGGACGAGAAGTACCCCGGCCGATCCTCGGCTGACCCCCGGGCGATCCCCAGGGGGGAGGCTATTTTTCGCCACCACTCACGAGGATCGTGGCCTCCGAGGGGGGGGGCTGCCAACGACTACCCCCCCTCCCGCCCCAAGGGGCCCCCAAGAGCCCCCCAAGAGACCCCAAGGGAGCCCAATACGCCGCCAAGGAGCCCCAAGACGCTCCCAAGAAGCCCCCAAGAAAGAAGCCCCCAAGACGGCCCCAAAAGGCCCCAAATAGCGCTCCAGGACCGGCGGAATGAGCGAAGCGATTAAATAATTTCGAGCACCCAGAAAAATGTCAAAAGAGTGTCGAAACAGTGTCGAAACAGTGTCGGGCAAGTGTCTCCCAGGGCCCGGCACGTGAAAACCCTTGAACTTCGGCACGTTTTTGGGCGCTCGAAATTCTTCCCGGCGATCGAGGCTAAAGTAGGCTGGAGCATCATAACTCCCAGGCGTTGCCTCCTGTCCCCCGTGGGAGGGGGGAGGCCAGCCAAGCAGAGCACATCCCCCTTCGACTCCGCGCGCGCGCGAGGGAGGCTGCGAGGGCCACCCGCACGTCGTTGGCCAGGTCCGCCGGGAGGCCCTCGGCACCCTTGACCTGCGCGGAGCTCCGGGGCACTCTCCCACAACACGGCGCCGAGGCTGGAGGTTCGCCGGTGAGCGGGGGGGGTGGAAGTGAGAAGGAGAAGGCCTTCTCAGAAGGCGGCGGGGCTTCTCAGAAGCCCTCGCGCCCTCTGAGAAGTGAGCTGTGTCTGCGGGGAAGGCTTCGGAAACTTCTCAGAAGGCCGGGGGACTTCCGAGCCGTGCGAGGAGGCTGAGGAGGCCTTCTCCTACTCACTTCCCCCCCTCGCTCGCCGCCGAGGAGTGCAGGCAGCCGGTCAATCAGCTAGCCAGTTGCTGGAAGCGAGCACTGCAGCACAGAGAGGGGCAACAGCCTGCGAGGGCTCAGATCCTGAAGCGAAGACCCCTGCACCTGCGGGTGTGGCTGCGGGCCCGCCCTCCAGCCCCGCCTGGAACCTCAACCCGATCAGAGGTCACATGAAATCCAAACGGCCGCTCCAAAGGCACTCGTCCTTGCAGCTGGAATGAGGCCTCGCTCGTGGCCTGCCCCCCCCGGTCCCCTGGCCTGCCCCTCGCCATCGCTCGGACGTCCCCCTGTGCTTTTTGTCGGTTTCGTGCGCGGCTTTTTCGCCAAATGATCAAAGATGCTCCTCGATGGTCCTCGCCGAAGGAAAAACGCACGCGTCCGAGCGATGCCGAGGCCCCTGGCCCTCGCCCAAGCCTCCTCGCTACCCCCCTGGGCCCCCTCGCTGCCTGGTCGTGCCAGGAGACGGGGCACGCGTGCCCCCTTGTATAGAGCATATACCTGCGTTGGCCCTCCTGGATTCTCTCTGCCTTTCGGCTGCAGTGAAAACGTATCGTAAGGACGCGTGGCAAGGGCGCAAGACCCTTGGAGGCCGAAGTTGAAGTAGATTCTGGCCTGCGAGAACTGCCAGGGACGGGCCGCAGAGGCTGAGGCAGGCAAGGACCCAAGGGCACCCTTGAAAAAGTCGTTTGTCCTTACTATGCGCGTTGACTGTACGCGCAGGAGTGACCCTCGGCAAGAGGGACCTTTAGTGCGCGGACTAAGCGGGCGCAGTGTGGCCAAATCAGAGCGCGCAAGCAGCCGCTATCGCATCGCGCCCGGCGGTCGGGGGCACCTCGATGAGCCCGCTCTCAAAGGTCACTCCGGCGAAGGGTCTCTCCTGCGTGTAGCCGAACCTTTTTGCGGCAGCAGCTGCTGAAGCTCTCGCGGGCATGGCTCACATCCGGCCCGAGCCAGCTCTCGGAGCCTCCCACGGCCCGCGACCCCGCCTGATGGGCCTGTTTCCACCACGACCACCACCACCACCATAAGTTGGAGCAGGGAGAAAGGAGGACGACGAGGAGGAAGGAGAGGAGGAGGAGGAGGAGGAGGAGGAGGAAGAGGAGGAGGAGGAGGAGGAGGACGAGGACGAGGACCCCCTCCCCCGCCTACTTCTGGTGGTGGCGGTGGAAAACAAGCCCACCACCGCCCTCGCCGCAGCCGGCGCCCGCCCCGCCGAAACGCGCCCGCGGCCCGCGGTGCTGCGCACGGCCCGTGGGCGACGTGCCGGCTTCTCGCCGCGCGCGCGCCAGGGGCGCTGCAGTCCGCGGGCGCCCCGGAGAGCGCCGATGCATCGGCGCCCGCGGGCGCCCGGCGGCTACAGACCGCGCGGCGCAGGGCGACCAGTGGCGGAGGGGCAGCGATAGGGCAACGTCGGGGGGGAGGGTTCGAGGCTCGTGGGCTCGAGGTTCGAGGTTCGCGGTTCGAGGATCGAGGTTCGAGACGCAGCGTGCAGTCCGCGCGCCCTGGTGCTCGAGGCGGTGTCGCGCGACGGGCACGCGCTGCGCCACGCCTCGCCCGCGCTGCGCGCGGCCCGCGTGCAGCGCGGGCGAGGCGAGGGTCCGGCGCGTGCCCCTCGCGCGCGCCTCGAGCACGACGGCGCGGTCGGCCCGGAGGTCCTACGGGGGGAGAGGTTCGAGGTTTTCGAGGTTTTCGAGGTGTTCGAGGTCTTCGAGGTTTTCGAGGTTCGAGGTTTTCAAAGTTTTCGAGGTTTTCGAGGTTTTCGAGGTTCGAGGTTCGAGGTTTTCGAGGTTTTCGAGGTTTTGAGTTTTTCGAGATTCGAGGTCCTACGGAGGTTCGAGGATCGAGGCGGTCGGACGTTTCGGCTGGTTCTCTCGGCGGCTCTGCCGTGTCTCGGGGCGGCCCTTCCGACGGCTGCGCCTCGCCGCGAGCGTTCACAAAGAGGCTCCAGGCTCGAACTGGAAAACCACCACGGGACCGGCTCAGGGGGGGGGAAACATCGATCGGGGATGGACAGACCCCCCTTTAGTAAAACGTGGTTTAGTGAAGACGACCTGGGGCCCAACCCTGGCGGGCGCAAGCCTGGAAAATAACGGCCACGGCGCCATCTCGAGAACCGAACACGGACAATTCACGAATCGACGTGTCACTGTTGGGGGTTCTGTCCACCCCCGTATCGACCTGGAACCGGCGACACAAATCGCAGATGCATCGGCGATGGGCCCCTGATGGCGAATCCGCAGGGTCCTGGGCGGGTTGGGCCGTCGGGCCCCTCTCGGCGAGGAATGGGCGATTCGGGGTCGATGCGTCCCCCCTCTGAGCTTCTCTCCCCCCTGACGTTGCCCATGATCAGGGCGCCTGGCGCCTGCGCCGCTTGGGCGCGGGGCCGGCGCTGCTGTTCGAGGCGGGGTGCTGTAGCCGGCATCCACCGCTCAGGGAGCCGAGGCCCTGGAATGTTTCGGAACAGGGCAGTGGACCTGAACACGTCTTTGGGCCCCGAGGTGCCCCACGGCCGAGGTCCGCTTCTTCAAGCCACAGATCCTTCCGCCTTGCCCGCTTCTTGGCCGCCGGCGGCGTTCAACCTTGCACGCCCGCGCCGGGGTCGCTGCCGCGTCGCCACGGCACGAACCTGCCGCAGATCCCCGCCTCGGATGTGGCGCGGCGGGCCGCCGCCGGCGCCGCTGCTCGGCAGCAGCGCCCGCAGCTCCGCGTCCTCCTCGAGCAACGCCGCGGCCGCGTGGGCCACGGCGCCCGGGCTGCGCCGGGCGGCGGCGGCCACGACCGCGCGGTCCGCGCGCAGCGCGGGCGAGGCGTGGCGCAGCGCGTGCCCGTCGCGCGACACCGCCTCGAGCACGAAGGCGCGGTCGGCCAGGAGGTCCTTTCAGGGACAAAGTTCGGGGGGGGGGAGTTCAAAGTTCGAGGCCCGAGGTTTTCGGACGTTCTCGTTATTTTCGGCGGCTTGCCAGCCTCAGGGTGCCTGCCAACAGCTGTGCCTCGCAGAGAGCACTCCAGGGGTTCCAAGATCGTCCCAAACGGCTGCCAAAGACCCGAATTTCCGTCGGAGGACCACCAAAAGACCGGCTCAGGGGGGGCAACATCGACCTGGGATCGGCGACGCATCGCCGATACATAGGCGATGTCTCGCCGATCTGCACCAGTTGGAGATGCCGCGGTCGGCGTTTCGGGGGAACGGGCCCGGGGGGGAGAGGGGGAGGAGGAGGAGGAGGAGGAGGGGAGGAGGAGGAGGAGGAGAGGAGGAGGAGGAGGAGGAGGAGGAGGAGGAGGAGGAGGAGAGGAGGAGGAGGAGGAAGGAGGAAGAGGAGGAGGAGGAGGAGGAGGAGGAGGAGGAGCAGGAGGAGGAGGAGGAGGAGGGCGTTAGGGCGCTAGGGCCTTAGACCTGTGTCTGTCGCATCTTGCGACCCGATTACTTAGTAACCAGGGCATCCAGGCCAATCATTCCCTCCAGCCAGGAGTCGAGCCTCACCTTCACGGGCCCTCTCTTCACGGCAAAACATGACCGCCCCTCGGGGGTCACCAGAGCCGTGAAGCTGGGCCACGCGATACATGTCGGGGGCCTCGGGGAATTCCAACCCATACTCGGGGACAGGGTCAGCACACCGCGCCGAGGCCTCCGAAGATAGCAGCCGCCCTTCCCACGACGCTCGGACCTCCTCAGACGGCTCAACACACATGCCGAGCATCGGGGGAAGGGGACACCGTCGAATCAGGGTGCAGATTTCGCCTGAGCCTGGAGCGATGGGTCGCTAGACCTTGGTGCTTCGGACCGAAACATGGCCCTGCAAGTCCTTTCCCAGGCCTATGACTGCGCTGCACGCTCGCGCCGCACGAGATGCAAAACAACACTGGGGCTCCTGACTCTTCCCCGACCACGGGAGCCTGGACCGCGTTATGCCTGGAGAACGTCCAGGTCTGGCAGCGCGCCCGCAGCAACCCCGAGGCTTAGGGCATCGGGCCAGGAGGAGAAGCCGATGAGCCAACGGAGGAGCTGAGAGCAGCAGAGACAGAGCTAGCCAAGCCATGACTACCCTCGGGATAGAGTCTCTCGGGCACAGCCTCGAAGAGCCGCTCGCTGTGGCGCTGCCCCAGCCGAGCTTCATGCTCTTCGACGAGGTCTGGCGGAACTTGCCATGGCAGGTCGAGCTCCACTTCCGCAGTCCCACCCACCCCCTCCGAGTCCAAGTCCTGATCATGCCGCCAGCTGAGGCGACCCAGCCACTCCGCGGCCTGGGTCACTCTACGCTCACAGCCTTCTACAACAAGCTCCTGCTCCTCTTCCATTCGCCAAGGCTGAGCCCCAGCACGAACCCACTTGTCACCGAGACGACTGCCCTTGAGAATCCACTGACCCTCCAAAGACGTGGCTTCTCGCAGCGCACGGTGGGCTTTAACCTTGACAACTTTGGCTGAGACGCATACTCTGAACCACCGCAGCCTCCGCATGCGACGGCGACTGTTGTCAAGCGACAGGGCCGCGGGCGGAGATGTGGCGCACGTGCCGGAACCAGCGCAATCACTGAATACTTCCAGCGGCATTCCCTCATCGCCGTCACACGGGGTTCACTACACCTGGCCAACATGTGAAACGCGTAGCCCCCCCCCCGCCCCGCGCCCACCGACACGGCCAGGCCCCCGCCCCCGTGGAGCCGCCCCGCGCATGCCGGCAACAAAATTGCCTCCGTCGTCCACTTAAACTGCTGGCCAGCCTGATCTTCTACAGGCTCCGAACTTCGCGCGAAACGCTGATCTCTCTACAAAGCCCCCCCCCCCCCAGCGCCATCCAGGCAAAGCCCCGACAAAGGGAACCCAATCCTCCTCGGGAGCTTCTGGCTCTCCAAAGCAGCGCTCGGGCTGGGGAAAAGACGCCTGGCAAACAGCTCCGCCTCCTCCCCCCCAAGACTAGCAACCTTCCAGGCAGCTTGCCGAAGACTGGCGGGGAGATCGGCCCTGCGAAGCTCGGCCGGGCAGGGGCAGTCGAACGCGCGGTGGAACAACGTGTCCCTGCAGCCGCGCAAAAGACACTTGTCAGTCACCGGTGTTTGATACTTGGCTAGCCTCGCATGGGGCCAGCGGGCGCCCGAGACCAAATGCGAAGCAGGCTCCTCTCGTGCCGAGAAAGACCGATGTCGGCCTTGCCATGCTAAACCCTGTCTAGAGGCCTCCAGTGCAGCTCTGAAACCCACGACCTCAACTTTGTCATCGCCGGAATGTCGGAAGCAGCCGATGCCATGCGACGGGCCATGTCGACCACGCGGCCAGGAAAGAAACACTTCAGATCGACTTCCCCAGTAGGCCCAATCAGCTTGGTGGCAGAGGCCATGCCTCCTCCGACACGTGCGAGGGCTAGGAGTAGGGCTCGGGCTGGGTTGGTGCACTTGCCCCATGGAGCCTTCTGCCCGAGAATCGGGCCGCCCCCCTCCAACACCGCCTCAAGAACCCCTTCAGACGGCAGAGAAGTCTCCAAGCAGGCAGCCCAAGCTTTAACAACTTCACCTGTGTGGATGAGCAGAGGGTACCCCCAGAACCACGATACATGGTCCAAATTCGCAGCCGTACACTGGCTCCCGCAAGGAGCATCCCTTCAGACTTCAGGGCCGCAACCCTCAGACCGCTGAGCCTCCCGTCGGCTATTCCTGTCACCGCAGATCCCCATATAGCAGTCGCCGTGGGCGAACAGCGGGGGACCTTCTCAACCCTGGCGCTCGCAGCTCTCAGCACGTGGACTCGCTCCGCAGACTTCCGAGCTTTCTCCAGACGCAAATTTTGCTCAACCACACTGCGCAGCACGCCTGTCGAGCCGTCGCCCCCGAGGCAGCGGAGGCCGCTGGCGCGCTCGAGCTCGCCCTCCCAAGCCAGGGCCAGCATGCCCGCGAGCTCGGCATCGCCCGTGAGCCAGCCCGTCTTGTCCCAGTTGACCTGCAGCTTGCGCTCGGAGAGGCCGTCCGCTAGAAACCGAAGGGCTGCAGGTAACTGCTCCCCAACCAGTCTCACTGCGCCAAGAGCTTGCTGCATCTGATCGCCAACGAGCGACTGCGCCCGCACCAGAGGATACCTTCGCACTTGCTCAATCAACAATGTGTGACCATCAACTTCGCCAAGTCAAGCGCGCAACTGCATCCTGCTGCAATCGTGCCACTGGAATATATGACCACAGAAAGAGCTCAAAGGTACTGCGCTCGGCGCCCCAGCCGGCACGTGCAGCAAAGAGCCCTCAGCAGCGCTAAGGGAAACCGAGTCGCCTTCGCCTCTCGTAGTAGGGCGTCGTGGGACACATGCTCGTAATACTTACTGAGGCCCAGCGCCGCCGTACCCGATGCCATGCCCTCCACCTGCATGCAGTCCGCCGATAGCCGGTTGTGAACATGTCCAGCACGATCGCACGTACTGCTGAGGCCTCCCCAGTAGAGGTGCCCTTCCAGCTGCCTTTCCCGCTACGCCACCAGCGGGTGCCTCAGGCGGCTCCATGGAGGCTTGGGCAGAAGGAGATCAACATGAGGAAAAGACGCGAATCCATCGGGTCCCGCTTCCATGCGTGCAGCACTTCCAGAAACCTCAACTGGCAGCTGCGCGGCAGCCACCGCAGCAGCCTGGGATGGACCTTGTCCCAGCCAAGGCCTGCTCTGTCACTGTAGGTGTCGACTACCGTCCGCAGGTCCTGCAGCGTGAGCCTCGGCAGTGCAGCAGCGTCGAACTCCTCCCCTCCCCAGGTGTAGGGATGGGCTTCATCTCGTCGTAGCTCATGTTGCCACAGCGGTCCCCACTGCTGCATGAACTTCGCCATGGCGGCATCCCCACCGAGAGGCAAGTACTGCTCCTACTCGTCATCAAGCACCTCAAACGCTGATGGTTGGACCTGATGCCCAGCGCAAACGAAGCCGAAGGCCGCGATGCCACCCTTGTCCTGGGCAGCCGCACGCGCCCACGCCTTCCACTCGCCCTGACGCAGCTGCACCAGGTACTCGTCAAGCGCGTCGAGCATGCAGCCCACTGCTGACCAACTGCCTGACCTCAAGACTGCAACCACCTTGCTGATGGACATCCTCGCCAGGGGCCCTGACGACGGCCACCAGCCGTCCTCAATCACAAGGCCCTCGATGACCTGCAGCTGGCGACTCAGACACGAGAGCCCGGGCCAGCCTTGCTGCAGCATGTAGGCCTTCTGCTGGGCAGCTCTCCTCGCTGCCGGTGCAAGAGAGGCCATCCGTCTGGAGGAGAAGGAGGAGGAGGAGGAGGAGAAGGGAGGAGGAAGGAGGAGGAGGAGGAAAAGAAGGAAGGAAGAGGAGGGAGGAGGAAGAGAAGGAGGAGGAGGCGACGTTCTGGGGAGTCTGAGATAGAGAAACCGCACGGTCATGGGCGGGGCGGGGCTGTCGGGCCCCAGCGATCCGTGGGCGCGGGGGGGTCGATGCGTCCCCCCCCCTGCTCCTCGACCGACTCGCCTCCTCCCTCCTCCTCCTCCTCCTCCTTCTCCTCCTCCTCCTCCTCCTCCTCCTCCTCCTCCTCCTCCTCCTCCTCCTCCTGCCCCTCCTCCTCCTCCTCCTCCTCGATCCCCCCTTAACGTTGCCCCTGATCCTCGCTCGCGTAGCGCAGCGCGTCGCTGTCCTGGCGCGCGGCCGTCAGCACCACCTCCGGCCTGGCCCGCATCGCCAGGCTCGCGTGCGCGATGGCGTCGCTGTCCTGCTGCACGGCGGCCAGTACCACCTCGGCGTCGTCGCGGAGAGGGCCTGCGGCAAACTCGAGCGCCGACCCGTCCTGCGGCATGGAGGGAACGAGGCAAGGAAGGAAGCGGGTCCTGGGGCAAGTTTTCCATCCCGCGTCGTTCTCTGACAGCCCTGGGGCCCAGGAAGGGCCCCGAGAGTGAGGTTGGTCGACATTAGGGGACTGGCCCGGGGGAAGAGACAATGATCTAGCATCGGGAATACATCTCGAGGCCTCCTAGATGGGGTCCGAGTAGATAGGGTCGGAGGATCGCGCCGCATCGCCAATGCATCGCCGACATATCGGCGATGCATCGGCGACGTCGGCGTGGGAAAACACGGACTCCACATCGAGCCGCATCGTCGACGCATCGGCAATGCGGCGCGATCCACCGACCCCATCTACCCTGACCCCATCTGGGAGGCCTGGAACATCGCCGACAGATGAGAGGCAGGCCCCAAGTGACGAAGCCGCACGCGTATGGCCCGGGTGGAGGGCCTCGCCCCCCCATTGGCGACAAGTGGACGATCCGAAGTCGACGCCTCCCCCCATGGGCCTGTCCCCCCCATTCGTGGCCCCTGGGAAAGTCGGAAAACGAGGAATAGAGCTATCCAAAGCCTTTGTGACCGATTTCTGTTGAGAAAGAAAATCATCGTGATGGGAGGAAGGGGTTGGGAAGATACAGGGCACGACTGTGTAGCTAAGAAGCCCATTCAACATACGCGATGAGACGGGTGATCATATCATTTCTCCCAACCACATCCTCCCATCCCGATGATTGTCCTTCTGGTTCTTTCCCGGGTAACGGTCGTTACCAGGGGGCGGGGGGGTCGGGCAGGAGGGTCACGGTAACGGCGGCCGCGGCGTGCACCCGCCAGGGTGCGACAGCGCCGCCGGCGCATCAATTCCTTATGTGCACCACAGCATGTAGGGGGGGGGGGTCCAGGCCACACAAACACACACACACACACACACACCAGCACGATCGTTAGCCTTACCCAGGGGTGGAGGGAGGGCCGCGCCTCCGGCGCATCAATCCCTTATGTGCACCACAGCATGTAGGGGGGGGGGTCCAGGCCACACACACACACACACACATCAGCACGATCGTTAGCCTTACCCAGAGGTGGAGGGAGGGGTTTGGCCCGGGTAAGGCGCGTTGCCCTGGGGAGGGGGACAAAAACACGCTCCCAAAACCGGAAACCAACCAACGAGGATCAGACCCGGAGCGCGGCCGACAGCGAGGCACCCCCGACCCCTCGGGACGCCCGCGCCGCCAGAAAATGACCATGCCCACTGCCGCGGGGTCGTGCCCCGAGGCCTCGGGGAGCGGCGGACGTGGACACCTGCCCGCCAACGCGGGCAGGCAGAGGTCCACACCCACCGCTCCTCGAGACCTCGGGGCACGACTCCGAAGCAGCGGACGTGGACATGCTCTGGCGCTGGAACGCCTGCCCTCCGCGGCCCACGGCGGGAGTCCTGCCGCACCGCGGCCAGCACCACCTCGCGGTCGGCCCTGTGGCAGTCCGGCGCGTGCTGCAGGGCGCGGCCGTTCCTGGCCGCGGCGCTGAGCGCCACGCCCCGGTCCCGCCGCACCTTCTCGGGCAGGTGCTCCGGCCGGGCGGCGCCAGCCGGCCACCCCACCGATGCTGGCCGTGCCCGTCCTGGGCCCAAGATCGATGTCCAGCGGCGGCGAGCGAGGGTGGAGAGTGAGAAGCAGAAGGCCTTCTCGGACGGCGGCGGGACTTCTCAGAAACCCTCGCGCCTTCTGAGAGGTCTGCTTCTGTCTTCGGCGAAGGCTTCGGAAACTTCTCAGAAGGCCGGGTGACTTCCGAGCCTTCTGAGAAGGCCTGTTCCTTTTCACTTCCCCGGGCCTCGCCGCCGAGTCTAGGCCCTCCCGGCTTGGCCAGCGAGGCGTGGATCCAGACCACCCCCGACCTCACGATGCCTTCACGGCCTCCTCCTCCTCCTCCTCCTCCTCCTCCTCCTCCTCCTCCTCCTCCTCCTCCTCCTCCTCCTCCTCCTCCTCCTCCTCCTCCTCGTGGACCCCCATAAAGGCCTGGACCCCTTCCCGGGGGCCGCCTCTCCGCCCCTGCGCCGTCTGTGCGCGGTCCTGCGTGGGGCCCCCAGGTGCCGACAGTGGAGAGAGGCCTCCCGTCCCTTCACGGCGCGGGCACGCCTGGGGCAGGCGCCGATCCTGGGCCCAGGATCGGCCTGGCCACGCTCGGTGAGGCGGCCCGTGGAGGCCCCCCGATCCAGGGCCGCGGTGTTGAGGCCCACCGCCTCCCGGGCGAAGCCGAGGTCTGCCCTCAGCGAGTCGGCGGCGTACTGGAGCACCGCGCCGTCCTTCGCGGGGCGGACGCACGGGTGAGGAGGCAACTCCACTGGGAGGTCTTCGCAAGAATGATCGAGTGCCATTGTAGGCCCGATTGGGGTGCCACCGCGCCGGAGTAGGCTGGACTGCACCCAAGATTCAGCCGGCGTCAGCGGGATTGAGCTGGATTCGGCGAGCTGATGCTGGATTAGGCAGATTTTTTACCACGGATATGCCAGCGCCGATGCTGAATTCAACCTCCCAGGAGTTGCATCCAAAAAGAGGGGGTCGACGAATCAGTTGCACACGGCTGGTTTTCCCGTCGCCTCCAGGCGCGGCGGGGCCGACATCAGCCGCATGCAGCCCATCTTTGCCGAATTCATTCCCCCGTCGCTCGACTCAAGTCCTGCGCTACTGCGCCAATCATAAACTGACGGTCCGCCCTGATGGCATCGGATGCGTAGCGGATCGCGTGGCTGTCCTGCCTCAGGGCGGCCGAGATCACCTCTCTGTCGTCCAGCAGTTTGCTGTCGGCATACTGCAGCGCATCGCTGTCCTGCAGAACTGCCATGATGATGATCTGGCGGTCCGACAGCAAGGAGGGCCAAACATGCATGATGGAGTCGCTGTCTTGCTTGATGGCCGCCAGCGCGATGTCACGGTCTGCGCGCAGTGCATCGGACGCGTGCTGGAGTGCGCTGGCATTCTGCGTGACCGCAGCCAGGACCACCTTCCTGTCGGAGCGCAGCTCCTCGGCGGCGTACCACAATGCGGACCCGTCTTGGCTGACAGCAGCGAGCACCACGTCGTAATTCGCCCACAACTCCTGACTAGCACGAGGGAAGCGGGTCCTGAGGGAAACGGGCCCTGGACCCCCGGACCTTCCTCCAGGACGAGATCTCCCTCCTGAGTCGTTCTCTGGCAGTCCTGGGGCCCGTGGAGGGCCCTGGGAGCCCGGAAATAGCGAGAAACCTCAGGTTACGGTTCCCTCAGGACCCTCTTC